ATAGCTGTCCTGTAGATGTGCTACATGGTAGATCCTTTTGAGATGATTGTAGTGTGGCTGACAATCCCAATTTTTCATTCATATGAGTTCTCCAGCTTAGTTTACCATGTATCTCCATAAATATTTGCCCCAACACTGTGGGGTGTGGAAAGACTAGCTCTGTGTTGAGGCTTCCTTCTTTTATTCATGTTTAGCTGCTGCTCTGGTTAATGATTAAGAAAAAAAACCAAAACACCAGCAGCAGGATGAAGAGTCAAAATAAGACAGTTTTAAGCTTTGTAGACTTTTTTGCCCTGTTCCTTCTTCCCACTCTCCATTCCTGCCTTTGTCATTGTATGTATCTATATATGGTCAATGAGATATACTGTACCACGTGTTGCAAATCACTGTCTTTTGTTTCAGCTTTTACCAGATTCGTGCATCTATGAAAATTCCTCCAAGAATTCCACACAAATTAGAAGCTAGCTTGTTACGTGCAACTGGTAAGTGCAAAAACTTTTAGTAAATGAGGTCATTATCTTGCCTTGCTAATTAAGGGCACATGCGTTTTGTCTTATATTGTTATAACTAATGTAAAAGTGTTTTTAATTTTGTTATTAACATAATAAAAATGTAAGTTGTTTCATGACAACCTGTTGAAAAAACAGCTTGTTCTTAGCAATGAGACTTAAAAGTTGATTACAGAATCTGTGTTACAGTTTTTGCTTTATTAATCCCCTTTGCTGGTAGCAAAACATGCCTTTATATTAGAGTGTTCTGTTTTTTCCATTGATCTACTCGGTGTTCTCCATATCATTTAAGTAGGTACCTCAAAGTAGTGGAGAACCTCAGATAACAGGCTCTTATACAGATTGCTAAGCCCATTTTTCTTCTGAAAGGATCCAGTCTTGCTGTTTTCAAACTTGCTCTCTTACTGTCTGGTGGCAAAGTTGAAAATTGATCTAACCTGCTGAAGGCTGAACAGAAAAACCTACTCCCTCATCTTTTTTTCCTTTTTTTTAACCTGGCACTCACTTTTAGTTTCTTTGTCAAGGCAAACTGAACCCGGAGAAACCTGTTAGTACTCTCCTAATTCTGTGAAGCTCACACCTCAACATGCTGTTAAAATGTGAAAAGCAAAAAATGAATTAAGTTTTCAAATGTCAGATGGGATCCTTGGAATTGCAAGGAAGAAAAACCTACTACAGGCTGAGAAAATGTGATACGAAATTACTGAAACCTGAATTTTTGAGGCTATTTTAAAAGTAACTCTGAGTAGAGCAACAATGTAGATACTGAATTTTAGTCAGGCTTCCTGAATATTTCTTGGTTCGTTGTGAAATTAGTAAATAATTCTCATGAACCGAGATTGCTCCACTTCAAAGTTTACTCTCGTTTAGGGAATTTACCTTGCTGAACTGATCCTTTAGTAAACTATACATTTTTAATAGTGTCACTTAATGATATGTTTAATATTGCTGAAAAAAAGTTTTTCTGTTTCATAGTATATTTTTAGAATGGTCTTCAGTTATTTTTTCAGAAAGCTGCAGTCTTGTTAGTAAGTTGTGACATACGTGTTAGCTCCTTTGTCTGTCTTTACTAGGCATAAAGGATGTAAATGTTAAGACTGCAGTTTGACGTGAGTTTTGATCAGCAGTGCTGTCAAAAAAAAAAAAATAAATCAGGCGGTGATTCCCCCTGGCTGCTCCATCTTACCCTCATATTGCGCTGTGCTCTGTTGACACAGGTGTCTGATTTGGCCTGGGAGCTCAGCTGGGGAACTCATTCAGCTGATAAGCAGCCATTTCATAAAAAACCAAACCCGTCCAAACCCCAAAACTGGGGTCCTTTTTAGATCAGTCTCAGTTTGGTTTATCAGGTAGTTACTAATAATGTTTGTGCCACAACAAAGCGGAAAGAAGGGTACAAGCTGGTCAATGAAAGGGCATTAGTTTGTCCTTCTTGTGGATATGATAGTGCTTGGTCTTGCTGAGGACCTCTGCCTTCCGTTCATTTCAGCTGCCTGCTTAATTTAGCAGAGATGGACACTGCAGCTCTTAACTCACAGCTCTGCTGCTCAAGGAGGTGGAATAGCTGATGCCAGTTACTGAGACTGCTGTTATTTGTAGAAAGTAGCTGCTATTATGCTGCCTGTGGACTAGCACTAAGAGGGTTGACCCACTATCTGAAAGTGTTGGTTGTTGACCAGAGAAGGCTGAACAGGAGCCCCAAACTCTCTCTCTTGAGAATGATGTCCTGTGTTGGTCAGATACTTCTTCCTATACTTTTCTGTCTCTCCCTTGTTCTGTCTTCCTCATATTTAACTGTTCTTAATCCTATTTCCTTTGACAGCATCATGGTTTTCCCACTTGAGTCCAAGTCATTTTGTCAACTTCTAGGTCTCCCTAGCCTCTGCACAAGTCACCTGCAGTTTTCTTACCTTAGCTGTGTGTTTTCCCCTCTGTCACAGACTGTTTGATCTATCTCTTCCTTTTATTTACCCAAACCAAATGTACAGTCTCAGTTTTCCCTTCTTCCTGTTCCTTTGTATCTCCTTCTGCCCCTTGCCCAGCTCTTCGTGAGGTCCTATGATAATTTAAATGCAGTTTTCTTCCATTTCTATTTCCCACATCCTTTAGTAGTTCACTAGAATTGCTTGGGACCCACAATGAGTGTCATTACAGATGTGACAGGGCAAGCCACTTGCTTTAGCTCCAGCCTTGTGAAGGTCTCCTGATGTTCTTGTAATTTGAAGGGAGATGTAGTCATGCTCTAGAAAGTTAAAAGAAAAATTTATGTAATTCTAGCCTGTATGAGGTTGCTTCAGGTTTGGGGCTGTTCTGAATTCCTCCTCCTATTAGAAAATTGTGGCTGGTCTTCAGGAAGAAGGAAAAAAGAAGAAAAAAATAAAAGGCAAGTTAGGAATTAGATGTCCATTTTTACGATGCAAGAATAAATTAATTCCCCACTATTTTTTCCCCTCCGTAGCTGAGATGGCGTTTATGTGGACAGAAGCCTATAAATAGGCAGTGCATAGTTGACTTAAAAATTAGTAGTTCTGCCTTGTTGACTTCACATTTGTGAGACCTTGCTCCCCACGTAGATGTGGCTCAGCCTGTTCCTGGCATCAGCTTTTCCTCTTCGACCCCCCTCTCTCACTTCTGAGGGTGTCGTTTCACATTACACTGAAGTCAGCAGAACTGAGGGCTGTAACTCAGAGTTGGATGCTGCATAGGAAGTGGGACCTCGGCCACGTATCTCTATTACTTCTTTTTTATCAAACTGGAGTCGGAGATCCCTTTTGCTGATGCTGTGTGGTTATATCAGGTTACGTGTCATGTGAAACCATAACCACTATGCCCTTCACCTGTAACAGATGACACGGATATAAGCTGAAAGTGGCATTATATATAGGGGAATTACTCTTTAATGATTCAGCCTTTGTAAGCATTTTGTCCAGGACACCTCAATTGATGATATGCATGAAAGCACTACGGCAAAACCCAGTTACTTGTTTCTAGTTTCTGAAGGGAAGTTGAACTAAGATGTTATGAAGGTTATAGACTGGGAATGTTTGCCAGGTGCAGTGATTTTCTATCAGAGGCCTGTAGACCCCAAATCTGTAAAGCACAAACTTTGCAGATATTTTTTTTTTCTTCTGTGGATTCCTTTGAAGTAATTTATTCAGAAGAATCAAAAGAATTGAAAAGAATGTTTTGCAGTCTTGTTTACACAATTTCTAAGACTTTGTGTTCTGGAAGAGGTTAATGTTATTGAACCTGCTTGTAGAGGACTGATAAGAAAGTGTTGATATTTCTGTTACTTCTGTTCTTCCAAGTTCCATCTTCTTTTATGCGCTGTTTCACAGGATAGTGTCCATCATGATATTTCCTGTGTGATAACCCCTTGCTATTATGCTAAATACTTCCTCAATAACTGTTGTAAACCATTCCCTTTCTCATTTCTCCTAGAAGTCTTTTAACCTTTTTTTGGCAAAGGATTCCCCAACCATTTATCACACTTTCCCGAACTCTCTTTGATGAGCAGCCTCTGGACTGAAAGCAGAAGTGCCATATTGAATGAGGAATGTAGGTTCAGTTGATAGACTTGGAACTGCTCTGGCCAGAGTAGCGTGCAAAGATATGGAAGGAAAGAACAAACCACCTCTGTTCTTAAATTCAGCGGAGTGGCATATGTCATTTATCTTCTGCCTCATCTGTAGGTAACGAAGAGCTCTCAGCGTGGCTAAGCCTTGCAAATCAACATGAATGCTGGATGAAACACAGATTTCAGGATTTTTATTAGGATTTTTAATGCCTAGAATGTCTTACTCCAATTTGGAACAAAGCTAAAATTCTTCAGTCCAGAACTTACAGTAAAAGCAAATTACATTAAAAATACTGATACGGTATTTCTTTGAAACAAAATGCACTACTTCAAACTTCAGGAGTTGCTGACTTAAACGAAAACTGCTGATATTGTTGGTGTTACAGTTTTAATTGCAGTCATGAAACTAATAGGAATGGTAGTTCCACTTATTAGCTCCTGTGGGGTTTTCAGATTCTAGGCCAATTATATTAATAATTCTTTCTCTTTTCAGGTGCAGATCTTGCCTTTCCTGCTTCAATCCATGACAATATAGTTTGCAGTAAAACATTTCAGATTCTTTATAAAAATGAGGAAGTTTCTGTGAACGACGTGATGATTTTCAAAATAAAAATGCTGTTAGATGAGAGGAAGGTAATCTGCCATTCAACTTCACTGTATTCAGATAATTAAGTCTTTGTTATGTACAATTTAGATTAGTATAAATAAGGGACCTGAAAAGATTTAATGCTTCTACAATTTTGTTTTAGATTGAGGAGTCTCTTAATGAAATGAATTTTCTGCTAACATTAGATCTACACTTCACGGATACAGACTATTCGTAAGTTTAAATATAGAAGATTTTATTAAAGCAACAATATATGTTAACTTTCTAAACTGGTTAAATCTGTATTATATGTAGACATAGTGTGTTCATATTAGACATATATGAGGGTAAAAAAGAAATCCAATGCTGAAGTCTGTTAAAATTTCATAACTAGTTTGTCTCATTCTGATTTTTATTTTTTTTTACATCTTTTTTTTCCTGGGTGAGATGTCATTGCATGCCAAACTAGAGACCTGTGCTAAATTGCGATCTGCGTCAGTTACTAATAACTTGCACTTTAAATCTCATCATTCTAATTGTATGTTGTTCTGTTTTAATTTCTTTTTAGACCGGATGACCTGAGCACACTACAGCCAATTAGTAGCCGAACTTTAAAGTTGCACTTTAACGTACACCGGGGCCTTCATCATTATGTCAATGTTATGTTTGATTACTTCCATCTTTCTGTCATATCGGTTATAGTCCATGCTTCTTTGGTTGCTCTGCATCAGCCGTTGATAAGGTAATCTCTTGTTACTAAAATGCAAATAAATAATTGAGTGTCCAGATGGATATGTTACGAAAATAGAATACTTAGGAAGGAGTTAAATCTATGACCAATATAGTTTTCTTTATGATGATTTTGGAACTCGGGGCCCATAGGGGTGAGAAATTTCTTGGTTTTAAAGTTACCTGGAACAAATTTTGAGCTTGTTTTTGTTGGAAATAAGAGTATGTAGTGTAGAAGAGAGATAATACCTAAGATCACAGAGGAGGAGGAGGAATGTATAAATATCTGTATTTATACATGTATATTTAGATGTATAAATGTATAAATATTTATACATTTTCTTAATCGGGAAGATCTACTGCTCACTCTAGTTAGTGACTGAAATAGGTGCTATTAATACAAATAGGGTGACTTCTGTTAGCAATCTTCACAGTTTTCAGTTACTGCTCTAATGGCAGTGATGTCTGCAAATGATGCGTTTACCACTTTCTAAAGTAAATGGAACTGGAGAATTTAATTTTCTACTTAAAAAAAGCTTTTGCGTAATTTTTACTGAAGCCTTTTTATTTCATTGGCTTGGGTCACCGTTTGCAATCTCTGTTTACCTTGCTTCTCTGTCTCAAAAGTAAGCATGAAAAAGGGCCATACAGTCAGTCACACATATGAATTGTTCTTTACATCACTTTTCCTGTAGCATATCTATCTTTGCCTTCTTTCATGGTCTTCAGATACTCCATGCTACTTCCCCTACGTTCCTTCATACTCAATTTCAGGCTGTGCCGTAAATGCCCAAACCTGTAGCTGAAGGTATTCCCACTCCTTGTCCCTGACTTCACACCATGAAAGGCTGTGTGTCTGTGTATGTTAGACAGCTGCTCTTTGCAGTCGGACTATGCTGGTTTGGCTTTTTTTCTTTTTCGTCTTTTTTTCCCCTCCAAGTTGGATTGTTTTGGTGATGTGTTTTAGGCCTAACTATATAGTAACTGAACTGGCACATCTGGAACGATGGCACAGCAATATTAGGGAGAGGACCAAGTAGTGAGGAGGGAAGTGGGAATTATCTTAAGCTAATATTGTTATTGAAGATCTCATCTGATAAAATAACATGCTTAAAGTAGGAGCATGTATGTAAAGTGTAAGTTGTCACAACGTACCACAAGTGACATTCAAGCCTTTTCCCTTGTATTCATCCCATAGCTTTAGGGTCGAACTTCAGTTCCATGTGAGAAAATGAAAAACAGGTTTTGTTACTAATTTTCAGTCAGAAATGTATTTGTCCCTGCTGACTTTTTAAAAGGTTCCAGAAAATCTGACATTTTTAATACATTTTTTTCCTCTGTTTCTGGCTTTTCAAGTGGTGATACAATAATGCTGTTTGATTTTAAACCTCAACTTGATACAGCTTGTGTAATGACATACTGAAACGAAAAAGCAACTTCCATGGTGCTTTGGTTATCTTTAGAGTAGAATGTTACTGGTGTCCGTAAAACTATTTAAAGATCCAAGTTGTCCTTTAAATCAGTTTGAGGTGGGGAGAGGAAGAAACCTTCAAATTTACAGTGTTTCGTTTCAGCTGGGCTATCCCATATTATAATATTTAGCAAACAGTTTGTTGCTGCCGTATCCGTATCATGCTTGATTTTCTGGAGCACCTCTTTCTGAAAGACCTGAACACTGCAGACTTCACTCCCCTTTGTCCTTTGGGCTTTCGTGGGTGACTGTTTGCTTCTCTGATGTTATTGGCACCCCTTCCTTTCCTATAGGGTCACTTTCTGAGTGTTTCCTTTTTGGAGTAGCATCCAGATTCTCCTTCTCTTCTGAACAACCAGTATTAACACTTTACTTTAAAGAGAGGACATAATTCCACACAGTAACACCCCAAGAGTCCTGTACAATCTACTGTTTTTATTAATCTGTCATTGCTTATTTCTGCACGTTATCTAAAGTCCTCACTTTCTGCATTCATTCATCTTTCATTCATTTTTCCTAGTTCTTTGTTCTTACAAGGTTACCTTTGCAGGATGCTCTTTTCACCCAGGGGTTCAGGATGGGCTTTTCTCTTCAACAGGCAGAGGTCAGGCATCCCTTAGGAGAATAGCAACAGCAGTTTGTGTGACAACTTTCCAACTGCTTGCTGCTGCTTCATTTTTAGGAGGTGAAGTCCCCACAGCAAAGTTGGCAGAAAATTAATACTTCTTACCTGTTACAGTTCAAAATTTATCTGTATGGCTTAAACTTTCAGGAATACTGTTTAAATTAGTTGAGGTTTGCATTAGAAATAATGAGGAAGAGCTTGCACCATCTCTTGGCACAGAGTCAGCTGACCTTCATGGTGGGAGATGGCAACAGAACAGTTGAGGGTAATAATTTCTTAAATTTCTTCAAGTAGCTGGAGATACGATTTGAAGAGCACCGCTTTAGAAGCACTGCTCCCCTAATGCAGCAGCAGACTTAACTGAGGTATCTCGGCCATCCTGAGGGGTTTTAAAAGGGCAGATCACCATGCTAGGAACTTCCAGGGTCTTATTGAGGGTCCTTGTTTCTACTACTTTTCAAGAAAAATCAAGAATTTGTATTAACTATGATAGTTGTGTGACACATACTATGTTCAAATTATCATTTCACTTGTGCTTTTTGCAGTTTTCCTCGCCCAGTGAAGAATACATGGTTGAACAGGAATGCACCAGCACAAAACAGGGACTCTGTGATTCCTTCTCTTGAAAGTGTGGTCTTTGGCAATAACTACACAAAACAGTTATCAGCAGATGTAAGAATATATCAGTTTGAGATTTTATTTGTGTTGTTGGACTGTGTGAATTTTACCTTTTCTGTGGAAATACTACTTGATAAATAATGAGCTTTGTTAGAGTTACTTTGGTGTGCCACATGATAAGGGACATGAGAAAAATCGTTCTAGAAGGCTATGTTGCATGCTTCAGGAACAGGCAGATGGAAAGCTTACAATATTAATGTTTAACCTTCTTTTTTAATATATTGCAATGCATTGAAAATTACAAAAATTTGGATGAGGTTTGTGAAAAGAGGCAGTTTGCTTATCTGTCTTTTTAGTTGTTCTGTAACACTTCATTTATTTTACAAAATAAATATGTGCCTCATCTTTTTCTATTTTTTTTTTTAGGGTTGCAGTTTTGTTGTTTCAGAGTCTTTCCTCAGTCATGCCTATAATTTCCACTATACGCTTTGTGCCAGTTTGCTGCTTGCTTTCAAAGGGTTACATAGCTATTTCATTATGATAACAAAGGAGCTCCCCTCTTCTCACCGAATTGAATTGGGTATGTTGAATTTAATAAAATGCATCACTTTCCTGTCAGTGTTTATATAAGAATACTCCTCTTGTAGACTAAACTGGCATTGATTTCATACATCTTGTGTATCTAAAATCTTTTTGCTCAAACTGAGCAATTTAATAACTCAAGAAAAAAATAAAAAAGAAACAAGTACTGTCACGTTACTAATAACATGAGGAGATAACAGCCTGAATTTATGCAAATATATTTTTTCTTGTTGGTCTTGATTTGCCCTGTTATTTCAAATCACCATGTTTAGTGGTGGGAAAGTTAGAGAAACTCTTAATCCAAGTAGCATGCTGCACTTCTTTGTTTGTTATAAGGAAACTGTATATTTGTATAAAAATTGGAACTCTGTAAGCCTTGACTTATGAAGAATATTACAATAGAAACTTACCTGAAAGAAGACCTACAAGAAGAAATTGCTGCTGACTCAGTTAGTAGCGTAACGTTTTAAACAGACTTAGTTACCCAAGAATCAGGAAGAGATCTGAATAAACAAGAACTGTTTCTGTAAAACCAAGTAGTTAAAATATGCTTTCAGAGAAGCTATTTCTTTAATAAAGTTAAAATTAAACATTTACAGGACAGCCTCATAGAAAGAAATTTAAGTTCTATGGCAATGAGGACTGCGAAAATATTACATGAAATGTAATGTGTGGAAAAGTACATTTCTGTAGAATGCAGGTATATTAGAGAGCCTACCCTCAACTTGTGAACTAGGAGAGCAGTGAAAATAAAAAAGGAAAATACATTGGCATTATAAAGGATGTTTTAGACTTTTCCTCATCAAGCATATACCTTTTTAGTCATGTAAAGTTCTATTTAAATCTGAAAAATAAATCTTTTGGAATTCACGTTGATTGTAGAGAGCGTTTATTGATTTTTGGATCGTTTAGTTTTACCAATGTCAGAACTAAGCATTATGAAACAATAGGATTGTAAATTGAGATATGAAAACTATTGTAAAAATGTGATTTGGTCAATTAGTGATTCCAACAAGGAATGTTTCACTTGTGTATTACAAAATACAAAGCTATTTTTTGAATTTTTTTTTTTTGAGGGAGTGCATTACAAATCTCTGCATAGAAAAATACCAGAAACTGAAGCTGTTTCTTTATAGAAGCAAAAATACTGCTACAGTTATGGTACAAAGAATAGTTCTGTGACAGTTATCTTAATCTTGATATGGAGGGAAACACCCTATTAAAGGAATGACTCAACTTTTAGTCTTCCTTTAAAGGACAAAATGTGTTTTTTCCCAAATAGAAACTGTTGGCACTATTGTTGTTGTAAGGATAGGCTTAGACTAAATCTTGATACTTAACTGTTTCAGATGGGACCTTCAATTCCCCTAAAACATTCCTACAAAATATATGTGTAATAGGAAAAAGCCATCCATTTCCTTACATAGTTCAATTGTATCTTTCAAACCTCACTGAAGTCACCAAAAACATTTTCATATGCTTCAGTGGAACTTGAGTCGGACCTTTTGTCATTTCTGTGGGTAATTTAGCTTACCTTTAGGAATGCAAGCTTGAACAGAAATGCTCAAAATAAATATATGAAGAAAAAATTACTACTTACATTGAACATTCATTGTACATATTCTGCTGATGGTTTATTTCAGTGTGGGGATATTTTTTTTGTTATTTTTTAAGTCTCTGCTAGAATTAATTTGGTTTTTTATTTGTAAATCTTTTTTTCATTTGTTTTGTATATAAATTGATTGGGACAGTTGATGTAACAGAACTAATAATCTAAACATTAATTATGCTTTTGCTCATGAAGAATAGCTAATGCCTACCATTAACACTAATTTTGCTAAAATCCTTTAACAGTAAAAAAAAAAAAAAAAGAGCAGTGTTTCTGTGATGTCTATAAAGAAATTGAAACTCTCTGGACTTCACAAAGCACACAATTGTCATTTGCATTTATTTTTAATTTTTACAGTAAATGAGCTGTTTTATAGTGGAAATTTTATGTGTGAAATTGAAATGGGCATTGCAGAAGAGGATCTCAAGTCCTGTTTCAATCCCAGAATCAGCACTTTTTTGTTATAAATTAAATTATTATCTCTTTAATTTTGTTTCTTCTGTTTGCTTTGCTATTGCTCTGTCATATAATTTTAACACAAGACAGTGATTTTGCAGAAGCATGTGCAGACAACTGTTGGACTTGATAACTGTAATTGAGCATTTTAAGTATTATTGGTTTCAGGAAATAAAAAAATTCTAGCTTAATGTATATCACAAGTGATATCTAATCTAGAAACTACACTAAAATTATATGCTTTCATGTACTGATCTAACTGCACTAATTGCTAGGCTACCACTAAGCTTTTTTACTAACTTTAAGGCAAATAATAAATCACAGATTGAAAAAAAGGAGTGTAGTAACTAGTCATATGTGTACAATCCCTATAACTAGCCAAGGCCAGCATGCAGGTCCTTTATGAACGCCTTCTCAGAAGAAAATATCCACGAACCCAGAGAGACGCCTACCTAGGTATGTTTTCAAAGCAGGTGATATAACCCCTCAGATTTTTATTAATAGATAAAATATTATATTATTAATAATATAAAATATTACATTCTTTTGTAAACAGGAGCACTATTTCACTAGTCAGCCATAGTCAACATGTGTTGAACTCTTGATGGAAGTCTGCAGAATTGAGCTACTTATTTCTAGACTGAATATAGATAATAAAAGTAGAAATTACTACTGTTTTTTGGTTTAGTGTTGTTCTACTTTACTAAACAAAAATGATTGAAGAGTTCAGTCAGTTGTCACCATTTAAATAAAATAGCTAAAAATTATAGTTTCATTTAATTAATCACAGACTCATTTTTTTTTTAGATAATTAAAGCCCAATACCTTTTCTATCTGAGAAATCTTTCCTGTTGCTTCTGGTATCTCAAGGCTTGATTCCTCCAAACACTACACAAGATGTTCTCAAAGCTTAAGGTGCATTTGTCCGTATCTAAATAGCCAGTTCTCCCTGTGGAGAGCGTCAATGTTGGCCTGATGCTGGACAAAAGACAACAGTGCTGTTTAAGCACAAGGAAGTTTGTGATGGGAAAAGAGTAACATGGCAGTTCGGTATAGTAGCTCACCAGCTTAATCATCTATAACTGTGTTTTGGTTTTGTTTTAAAAAGAAAACAAAACTTTTTTAGCAGAGCCAGCAAAATCTCATCAGGTGTTTGCTGGGTGAACGTTACTGCTGTAGGATGTTACTGTTTAATTTCCTTTTGTCTTGTACTGTCGCTATTGCGTCCTTTTTTTTGATAATGTTGTAGTTTGGGCTTTTCCATAATGATTTTAGACTTCAAAGTTTTGAAATGTTGTTCAAAGCTTATTCTCAATTGCAGTGTGACAAACAAGATGAATAGTCAGTATTGTCTCATAAGTAAACCATTTAATTTTTTCACTAATGACAAAATTTGTGTCACCACAAACACACCAAAAGTAGTATCATATCTTAAGCAGTTTTCATATATTTTCAGAATAATTATCATCGAGTACTTTTTAGTTAATACAGGTGTGTGCAGTTTCTTTGAAAAACATTTTTGAACTTGTTTCTGAGAACTTAATGCATTTCTGCAATTTGCGTATTTTCTCAGAACTTTGAGTTGTACAAGTCAATTTGTTTGGCATTAAGTTTAAACCTAAGTATAATGGATGCAATTAGTTGAAAATCAATATACACTTACCAAATCTAGGTGGTGTCATTCAAAGACAAGTTAAATAAACATACTGTTGCCGTTCTGTAAACCAATGTTCATTATCTGTATCCTAAATTTATTATTGTGGGTTTCACGGCATGATTTGTTGCTGTATGGTTTCAGGAAACACTGTAGGCTTTTTGCTTAATACTGTGTTTCAAAACTGAAGTATATTATAAATACTTTTTACAGACAATTTCAGAGTTTATAAATTGTTCCCTTGTTACTGGTACTTCTGATGTAGAAGGAAATCAGAACATTGTACTAAATTGTTATTTAATTGATCAGATTCTGGGAATGGGAATTGATCAGACTGGGAATGATTACCAAGGAAAAACATCTTACATGAAGGAATAAATCTGTTTTCATTATAAATAAGTCATTCAAGGTTCAGATACAGTTTATGCTGCCATACCATGGAAGATTGATTTGCTCTTAACATTGAGCTATTGAGAGAAAGGTCAATTAAAGAACAGTTTTATGGCTAAAATATAATTCCTCGGACAATTAAAGAATTGTATTTATATTCATATGGCTTGCAAATTGGGTAAATAATATAACTGTAGAAAAATGGTATTGGCATAAAGTATCTCCGGAAAATCTGAGGTAGAAGAGGAATGTGTTACCTTGGTTGTGAACGATGACACTGCTGCTGAATAGCTGAGCAGCTCTCAATGGATAATCTCCAAACTGCATCATCTAAATTACAGTATTTTCAAGCATAATTTTGAATGGAAAATTGGTATCCTTGACAAAGTATCATGATAAGTGATCATGATACTCAATTGCAAACCTTTTTTTTTAATAATTATGTTCTCTCCTCAATCTCAGAAATTACTAAGAAATTATTTTAAGAGGAGTTTATAACTTACTTGATTTAAAGTTGACTGTGGCACTTAATATGGCTTCAAGTTTTACTCGATGGGTTCTTTCTCATGTTTTAAAATTGTTTTGTGAGATAATTGGTTTTACTCTGCAACTTGGAAAGTACATTTTTCATGGATATGTCCTCTAATCTTTCCAGAAAACATAGATGTAGAAGTTCGTCTTACAGAATTGTGTGAAGAAGTAAAGGTACAGTTTTTTCGTGTATTAAATAAGTGTAAAAATATAATATGAATAATATGCTGATTTCACATGCTAATTGGGAATAAACTGTTTGTTTCAGTGATAATATCCTGTACGTTTTTTGCCATTGCTTATTTCAGCTGCTCCTCTCCTCATTCAAAGAGAAATGGCTCAACTGACTCCAAAACTTAACTATTGATCTGGTGGCTTGGTAACTTTTGTATGCTATGAAACTGAAGATTATAGAAAGGTGGATTACTTGTACTAAAATCAAATTTTGAATTTTCTGCATTTATAAATTGAATTCTTTGGTTTTGATGGTATCAGATAACAATGACAGAAGATCAGCCAGTAGTAGTAGGTTGTACAAAAGCAGATTCTCCAAGTCGTTCCCTCATCTGGAAGGACTTGTCCTGATGCTGTCTCCTTCTCCTGTTTTACCTACTTTCTCAAGGAAACGCTGTCTACTTCAGATTTCTTAGATTTGTCTCCCCAGCTCTCTCCTTAGTCAGAACTAATTTCTTTGTCACAGTGAAATTTGAAGTACAGGTGTTAAAACTTTTTTGAAAGATTGTCCACGCTTTCTTTTTTCTGAGTGGGCCATCTGCAAAGCTGTTGAAGAACCTTTCATTACTGCAGTAGTAGTATAACTGCAAGGAAATGTAATACTGGCTTTAAAGGCATATAATTTGTATAACTGGAGACAAAACCAGCACAGTTCGCTCTCTATGGGCAACTAATGATGTTATTTTATATGTTAAAAGTTTTTTTACATTTACATATCGTCTGTAAATTCTTTCAGTACTGATGATATTTTGTTTCATTAATTTCTCCCTTAGTTTGCTAAAGTATGTTTATATTTTTCTCTTTTTCTCCTTTCTGTTCTTTTGTGCAGTTCTCATCAAAAGTTTTTCCTCCTCTTAGTTCCACTCTTGTCTATTAAGCTGGTGTTTCAGTGTTTGCCATCCATTTTTTCTACTTGCTCTTTAATATTGCTGGAATTCAGTCTTTGCTGTCTCTATGTTTTAAACCCTTTGCCTCTGTGCCTTATGTGCCTGCAATGAGTTTTTGAAAAACTATATTTTTTTCTAAAATGGCAGGGAATGTAAGCCTGGTAGTCTGTAATTGACTGGCATGAAACTATATCATAGGATTACAGTACATTGTTAAGAAAGAAAAACTTGTTTTGCACTGAGTTTGTCTTGGTGTGATCTGGTTCTAGGAAGCCTATGCTGTAACAGTGGTTCCTGAGCATGTTTAAAGTGTATGTAGACATGCAATGCCATATAAATGTTATTGAGAGTTGTGACTATTCTGAAATGGAGATGTCTTTATTAAATTTTTGCAATTGTATCAAATTTGGACTAAGATAGCGAGTATCGATTTCCTGTTTTCTAATTGCTGATTCCTGTTCCTTTCAGGCACACTATATTTTTACATGTTAGAAAATACAACAGTTGCAACTCAGTTATGGTTGCCATAAATTGAATTGCTACTTTAATTTAAGGTCAGGAGCCCTAATTCTGAAAGACAACTAGAGAGTATTTAAGGCAACATAAAATAATCTGTTAGTGTTGTAGCAGAGATTAATTCAGTACTGATACTTAGGTAAAGCAGTTGTCATTTGGAAGTTACTTTTAAAATTAAAATTATCACTACAATAAAGTGCGCTTTTTTTGATTCTCGTCTGTACATTATGGTCTTATCTGTTAATCATGTAAATATGTTTTCCTAACTTCAGAAAATGGAAAATCCTGATGAACTGGCAGAACTTATAAATATGAATCTTGCTCAGCTTTGCTCACTTCTGATGGCTCTCTGGGGGCAATTTCTGGAGGTCATTACCTTACAAGAGGAGGTCACAGCGTTGCTAGCACAAGAGCATCACACATTAAGAGTAAGTATTGACTCTGGCTTTAGGAACTCTGGCATGTGCATACTAATGTGTATCAAAATGGGACTCAACGTTCTAATTTTTCTCATTTTATTTGGAGGGGTAGTTGAAGTCATAAAGGGAGCTGTTCTAATGTATTTGTCAGCTTGTGTATCATGTTGTTAGAGCTTATTCTTGAAATATAATACATAAAACAAGTTAGTTATGTTTATGAACTAACTAATTCATTGATCTTTCAAATAAGAAATGCAGTACAAAAGGCAAATTGCAGTCTGTGGAATAAGATGTATTTGTGCAGAATGATGTATTTTCCTGCAGGAGGCATGCCTAGTGCCCACCCTGCATTTTACTTCCCTACTGCATACACGCTGCCTGCTTACATTGTAAAACAAAGTGTACTTTCCTTCTGAATTAAGAATTTATAGCATTCGTAAGCTTTGAAGAGTCTCTTAAGTGGGATTTTAAAAAAAGAAGAGATGTATCAGAAATGATCTAGCGTGTAAATATGTGTGTATAGGTATAAAAATACATATCGTGAGTAGCTACACACGTGATTGATCTGTATATGTGTATATACAGTTGCTGTGGGCTTTCTACATGCAAAACCACAGCAGTGCTGGTTCCCATAGTGTAATATTTTCAAATATGAACTAAAGCATTATCCCCACTTTCTAACAAATATATTTTTCCCCTCCCGTCTTTTGTGGCCATGCATTTGAAGAAACATATCATTTTGAAGTTTTCAGAGAGTAAGATTCATTAAAACAAAAACAAGTAAACAATGACACCCACCACCCCTACTTGTCAAACACACAGCTTGGTCTTCAGCTGACCTGGCATCTTTACTGTCTGACATAACAATCTGCACATTTACCTTGCACTCGTTGTAGAATAGGTCATTTTAAGAGAGTATCAGGAGGCGCTTCTTGTACAACCATTTGCAAAGAGCTTGTTAGAAGATCCGGTTAATGAGAATACATGTTATCAGTGCTTTGTAACAGACACAATCCAAAATAAAGTCTATTTTAAGGCTTCATTTCTCAGAGATTTGATTTGTCTCACCAGCATTTCTGTCATTTGCATCAAAACCCTTTCTGTTTTGGTTCTGGAGGGGAAACTGATTAGGAAGGGTACTTGGACTGTGGTCCTATGTACTGACTTGATAAATCATATTGTTTACTGAGGGAATCATGGTTGTGAAAGTGGGCTATTCTGGAGAATAAATGGAATCTTTCAGAAAGAGCACAAGGCTTATTTGTTAGATATGCTGGCCATAAGAAAGTGTGAGCATTTTACTGGCTGTCTGAGTCTTACTTACCTTTTTATGCTTTTCATATAAATTCTGGAATGCTTCAAGTTAACTAGTGGAAGGTATGAAATGAGAATACTGTTTCACTTAACCTTCACTTGCATTCCACTGCTGTTATGTTAGTGTTTGTACAAGTATATATTTAATAAAACCAAAAGAAGTATTAATACTTTTATTTTTACTTCTCCAACATTTAAAAAAAAAAAAAAAGAAAAGATTTGCTAATCGTTATGTATTTAGCATCTCAAATGTGGTTTGTTTTAAAATCTTTGTAAGTCAGTCTCTCTGACTCTCTGGCTCTCAAATACCTTAATTATTTAATTTTACTGCAGTTATTTTAGGGATTATAAATCAAAGCAGTTTATTATACTATGTGAATTGAGATATTAGTTGTTCTGTGATGCTTTCCAGTTTTCACAAAATTTGAATGAGTTCCCTTCCTCCCTTCTTTTTTTCTTTTTTAAATTATCATTTGATTTCACGCATGCATTTTCTCCCTTTTCAGTTGCTGTTAAGCCCACTTGTTTTGTTATCCATCACTACGCATAAATAAATTTCTTTCAAGCACCACATCATATTTAATTTTTACTTTTTTAATAAGAAAAAACCAAATTATTCTTTAATAAAAGCTGTAGAAATAGTCTTTTCTGGAAGCGTGAATCCACACTTGCAGCATAGCAGTGTGGGGATGAAGACTCTTACATAGCGCTCAGTGCAGCTTGCTAGTAAGGGACACCAAGTTTCTAAAACTTACTGGCCTTCTAAGTTGAGCTCAGTGGTGATCTGTGTTACAACTGAAAATGTTGAGTGTATTTTCTTTTTTAAAGAAGTGGCTAATCGCTATTTCTTACTGAGTTCTGAAGTTACTGGATACTACATTATCTACCCAAACATCAAAGACTGAAAAAGAGATGCAGGACACGGGTAATCTTAAACTTACCTTTTTATTTAGAGCCTGATAGTGAAGAGCAAGCAGGCCGACTCTAAAATTCAAATAATACGGCATTGAGAAGGAAATTCTACCTGAGCCAACTTACAGAGAACCAGCAATGTTTTGTTACTTAATACAAGGACTAATTTGCAAATGTGACACTTACTTTCTTCAGTCCAAGATGTGAGGACCTTGTGTGAATACTTTGCAAATATATGTAATTAAAATATATGTAAAAGACAGCTTCACTGGCCTTCCCACATGGCAGTAGAGCAGGACCCAGGAATCCATAAATTCAGTAAACCTTTAAATTAAAAAGAGATGGTAAATTTAAGCCTTAACATTTTTAAGAACGTGTTTGACTGTTCATTTTTGGATCCTGTTTTGCAGTGCTTAGTGTAATAATTTGTAATTTGTATTAATAATCTCTTGACAATTTATATTCTGAGGGTTCATGTAAACTTCTTTTGGGAAACATGCAATGATCATGTTTCACTAGCGGCATTATCTGCACACATCAAATGATGCAGGTTTTCTGGCTAGTGAATTTAGTTGAGAATTGACTAATTCTCCTCCGGAGAGAGTATCTGTCTGTTCTGGATTAAGATTTTTGTACTATACAAAATTCTGTCCTTCTAAATAATCCCTTTTATTTTGGAAATTGATACTTGGTTGTGTGCTCTACCAGATGCTAAATCTCTTTCAGTTTTACCTTTTCATCTTGCAATATTTACAGACCATACCCTCCACACGAAGTTTCTCCCTGGGAAGGTTTAGTGTTAATCTAAGATGAATGAACCCTTTTAGAGACTTGTTCATCCGACTGGTTTAGATATTTGTATTAAAATACACGCTAGCAACGCCTGTCATCTGTATTTGGTCAAATGACTTTCACCCTTTTTGCACAGATGCTTATAAAACAGGTATTTCTGATGAAGTGTTGTGAGAAAATAAGGTTATAATGAAATAGTATATTTTAAGTTTTTAAAAATATTATTTTAATCTTTTTGCTTATTTTACTTGAGTATTTAAATACTTAACTATTTTCAAATTACTTTAAATATTAAGTGCTACATAAAAAAATCAGAAAAAAATCAGGAACGCTTTAGGGATACTAGAATATCCATCAACTACGTTATCACACTGATAAGATTTACCACTGCATTTTGTTGAAAAAAACTGCTTAGAGTATGTTATTTTATATTACAAAAAATTTGCACACTAAACTAGTTCACCTGTTTGTTCCATAGTGACATCTTCTGGTAGGTCTGATCATGCTCTTCCAAAATTATTTATTTCAGTTTTCTTAGTCCTAAAATAATGAGAACTGAGAACTAAGATCTCAGACTGCCGCTCATAAATGTGTGGGCACTCAATATATATTCCACAGCAGTTTTTCTATCCAATTTTTCCTCCTCTTCCGTTTACACTGGGAGGACCACAAAACCCATAGTTTTGGGAAGTCTGTAGGGACTAGGAGTAGCAGATTCAATTTCCTCCTGCAAAGTCATTGTGGAGTTGGCCCAAGTTGGTAGCGCCTGAGTCACTAGCACCAGCTGGTAGTCGTTCTGGTTCTGCAGAGCCTGTTTGCAGCATCCTAGCAATTGCCTTGGTCCTTCCATAAGTTAAGCTCTGATTAAATATAATAAACTACTGTTGGTTTGGGGTTTTTATTTCTCCTTAATATTGATTAATGTGGGCTTTTGGAGCTTGCTTTCAACTACTTTTATACCATTGCTATCCTACTAAGAGCTATCTGGAGCTGGTAATTGGATTTTCTTCAAAAGCATTGGAATTACTTGAACAATTAAAAATGGCGTTTATTGCAAACAAAAACCAGCCTTCCTTTTCTGTTTGAGATAGTGGCAGAATTCTAAAGATCTGGTCTCCATATAACTCCAGTTACTTTATGTGGTAAAGTGATTGCTTGCATCTAAAGTCAAAACCACCTTACCTCCCCTCTGGGAAACAGCTTTATGCTCTTTTCCTGGCTTGAACCACAGGCATCTACAAACTGGGCAATATTTCTGTTACTATTTTATTTCCTATTACGTGACTGATTGGGATCTTTAATTCATTTTAAAATTGCTTGGTTTGAAATGATAACCAGTCCAGTCTTTGCGGTCAGTTGCTTTAAAATCTAGGGTTTTAACCAGTAAAATTGTCTCTAAGTCTATTGCATAATGATCTCCTCTCTTTCTTGGGGTGAGGCTGGGGATTAGCTGTGACAGAACCATCTGTTTGGAAGGCAGATGTCCATTTAGAAAAGCCAGCTGAGGAGGTGCAGAGGAATACTTAGGAACACCAATTCTAATCCCACACGTGTATGCATAAACTCCTAACATAATTTCAGAAGGACAGCAGATATATCTTGCGTGTGCGTGTCTGGTCACTGCTGGAAGTTGCATTTACAAGAAAGTGTCAAATTTAGCGTTTTCTTTTTACTTCAAAATGTTTTCCATGGCTATTCACAGGTGATGTTATTGCTGAGATTAACTTCATATAATACAGTAAATTGAATTCTGGGAGGTTGGGACAGGACTTTCAGCTTCTTAAGCACATTGGAGCAATTTTTTTCCAGTTTTTCTTTTATTAAAAAGAAAAAGAGGAAAAAGTAGAAGCTACAGAACATCAAACTTCATCCAAACAGTACTCTCAAAGTATACCAGGCAGTGTATCAGGAGAGAAACCTAACTCCCCTGCAAGTTAATGTGATCCTGAAAGTCTGATGTTTGCCAGTTACTGCAGAGGTTTTTCCTAGTGCCGTGTCTGTGCTCCGGGCAGTTGCAGGTGCTGCCCGCAGCTGTGAGTGAAGTGAAAGAGCTGAGGGAACTGAACTAGGTCTGATGGCTGCTCCACCAGATATGCTGCAAACTTACGGTCTGTTTGGGAAATTAGATGACTTAATAGGAAGACCCAGAGTATATTGAGGAAATAAACGAGTAGGGGGCCAGGAAGTGGTTGGTAAATAAATGATTGAGTAAGTAGACTAGCAGCATACGTTGTTCTCTAAGTGGGACAGAAATTTTAATTGATGTGAACAAATTGATGTTTATGCCCAAGTTAATGCACAAGCAGTTGCTAACAGCCACTTTACAGCACATTCTCTTTTTTGTGTGTCTTGTTACAACGAACAAGATACTGTCATACTGCATTTGCAGGTAATTGGGCGGTTGCAAAAATAAAAGTTCTAAAAATGCATCTAGATTGAATTAATATTGTTATGTAATATTGGAAATGTGAGAATTCTTATCTTGCAAAACCTTAACTTTGGGGTTTCTAGATACTGCATTTTCAATACATTGATTGTTTTTATTTGTAGTAAATTGCTGTATAGTTCACACTTTCTATTACCACGCGATGTATTTGATGATAAAATAAAATGCTCCCTATGTTATAAAATACTATTTTAGTATTGCATGATTTATTGACTTTAGGCATACAGTTAAGTCTTGAATACAGTGCTTGTAATTAGCACAGATTTTGTTGTTGTCTTTGTCATTTGCAGCCAAAATCTTTACAAACAAAAGTTTTTATTGCACAATAGTTTACTGTGGGCTAGAGAGTATTCATGGGAAGTTGGAAATACATACTTCTCTGTATTTTGAGACTGCAGAATATCTATTGAGCTTCTACTTCTGAAGGTAATCCTCAAGCACATTCAGAAGTGCCCATCAAACAGTCATTTCCTTTCTTCTCATTGACATTTCTCTTAATATTTTGAGTGTTATTGTTTCAGGTGAGCCTGATGTGGATTACTGATTTCTTGGTAACCAAGTTTTCAGCAGGCAGTTGAATCTAATATAGTTTCCCTCAGTCACCCAGTGCACAAATTAAAATTCTCGTTTTAGGTGCTAGTCTTGTCTGTGGCATCTTCTTTCCTTCTACTCAGACTGAACATTTAAAAAAAAGTAACTGCCTATATAATACATAGGAGTTATTAACATTGCTGTGTAGGAATGCTGGTGGATTTTCAAAAGTTACATGTAATATAAAATAAGCTCTAACTTTATTTGGATCTTGCAGGTGCGCAGGTTTGCAGAAGCATTTTTTTGTCTTGAACATCCTAGGCAAGCTGCCCTTGCCTATCAAGAACTACAGTGAGTAGCCTTTTGACATACACAGTATGTAGCATGTAGTACTATTCTGTAGCTTATGTTGTGTAGAAGTACTGTCTTGCAAAAATAGTTACGTGACAAGTTTGAGAGAAACTTATGTTCAAAATACAGATTTGAAGGTTTTTTAATGAGTTGTATAAGAAGTTATTAAATAACTATTAAAGCTATTAAATAATTAGTAGAAAAGCTTCTACTAAAGTGATTTAAACTACGGCTAATTTCTGTTAATGTAAAAATAAATAGTTCTATTTTTTTCATGTAGGACTACTTCCTTTTTTTCAGTGCTCAAAGTCATCTACAGATGTGTGCAGCTATCAAAAACACTTCCTTCTGCAGTTCTCTTCCACCACTCCCTATTGAATGCAGTGAACTAGATGGAGATATGAACTCCTTGCCTATAATCTTTGAAGATCGATATTTAGATTCAATTACTGAAGGTAAACACACCGTACGGTGCAGTTTTCTTTTTGAAGAAATGAGCAAAAACTATGTAAAACCTGAGTATTGTGCTTTACATTTCATAGAATCACAGAATCATAGAATGGTTTAGGTTGGAAGAGACCTTAAAGATCGTCTAGTTCCAACCCCCCTGGCATGGGCAGGGACACCTCCCACTAGACCAGGTTGCTCAAACCCCATCCAGCCTGGCCTTGAACACCTCCAGGGATGGGGCCTCCACAACTTCTCTGGGCAACCTGTTCCAGTGCCTCACCACCCTCAGAGTGAAAAATTTCTTCCTGATATCTATCCTAAATCTCCCCTCTTCTCATTTGAAGCCGTTCCCCCTCGTCCTATCACTACATGCCCTTGTAAAATGTCCCTCTCCAGCTTCCTTGCAGGTGCCCTTCAGATACTGGAAGGGTGCTGTAAGGTCTCCTTGGAGCCTTTTCTTCTCCAGGCTGAACAAGCCCAACCAACTCTCTCAGCCTGTCCTCATAGGAGAGGTGCTTCAGCCCTCTGATCATCTTCGTGGCCCTCCTCTGGACCTACTCTAACAGGTCCATGTCCTTCTTGTGCTGAAGGCTACAAAGCTGGACTCAGTACTCCACGCTGGGTCTCACCACAGCCAAGCAGAAGGGTAGAATCACCTCACTTGACCTGCTGGCCATGCTTCTTTCCATTCAGCCCAGGATGTGGTTGGCCTTCTGGGCTGCAAGCTCACATTGCTGGCTCATGTTGAGCTTCTCAGCATTTCTTGCTGGCTTTAAAGGAGTATATTTATTTGCCAGGAAATGTTTCTTTAGTTTGCATTTTAAGCCTGTGTAAAGTTCTAGAATTAGGTTTTAAGTAGTTTTATATCTTCAGTTACCTGCACAATCTTGTTGTAAGCAATCCTTTTTCTTACTGTTTTTTTTCCCCTCACTTTTTTTTTGGTGAAAGATCTGGATGTGCCCTGGTTGGTAGTTCAGAGTCTTCCAAGGTCAGAGTCCAATAAACTGGATAAATTTGAAGCTGAAGAAGGCTTTGTAGCTGGTTTTACTAGCCCAGAACTGAAAATAAGACCTGCAGGTGCATCCAACCTTTGGCATTCAGAAAGTGAAAAGACGCTAACAAAAACTTTGAAAGGCAAAAATGAAGATGCAAATAAATCCAAAGTTAAGGTTACTAAGCTCATGAAGACAATGAAACCTGAAAACACAAAAAAAGTTGTGAAACAGAATTCTAAGGACTCTGTGGTCTTAGTAGGCTACAAATGTTTGAAAAGTGCAGCACTGGAAGATGCCGCTAGAAGCTCAGAAGGCAGGCCTTCATACAATGCTAATGCTAATGAAGGGCTGGACCCTACATTAGGTGGATTTCCTTGTGATACAAAAACCTGCACCAGGCAAATAAGTCAAAGAGAACTTCAGTTTTTGCCATCTGGAACCGAGGAAAAGACTGCCAAGATTGAAGGTGTCCAGCCAGGTCCGGGTAGCCCTGTGCACTGTGAAAATGTGGCTATTTTTGGTAGACTTACTATTTCCCAGACAGATTCTGGAACTATACAAGCAGATAGTGCTCTACAACCCAGAGGTACACTTGAAGGTTCTCATGGAGGTGAACCAGCTTCCTCAGGAGCGAGGACAATTGAGGTCAAACCAAGTAATAAGAATCCCTACGAGGGGGAGAAAGTAACTGTTCATATTGGATCATGGGCTGAGTTTCCACAAGATGAAGTCCAAGGAGAGAATTTGCAGACACCCAATATTCAGTCTTCAGAATCTGGAAATAAATTGAATTCAGGAGGACAGGAACCAGTGCTTGAAAAGGAAGATGTCCAGGAAAGAAACTTGAGACATACCAGTGACATCTTGACAAAAATGAAGAGTAATCAGCCTACTCTTTCTGCAAAAGAAAGTCAACTTTCTGCAAGTGGAGACATGACTAAATTACCAGATGTTAGTGTGACATATGCCTCTTCTAGGTTTTCAGATTCAGGTGTAGAAAGTGAACCAAGTTCCTTTGCAACTCACCCCAACCCCGATCAGGTTTTTGAAAATGTTCAAGGGCAAAGTGCATACAATGGTGAGAGAGTATTTCCTCAGCTTTTACTAAAGCCAGACTGTGCTCTAAAAAATGCAATAGAAAGCCATTGCACTGAGAGTACCAGCGCTGTAAGTGAAATACAGTCATCCCTGACATCCATAAATTCTCTGCCTTCAGATGATGATGAGCTGTCACCTGATGAGAATTCTAAGATATCTGTTGTACCTGAATGCCAGCTAAGTGATAGTAAAACGGTATTGGATCTTGGAGCAATTGACTTGCCAAAATGTGATGACAGTAAAAAGTCAAACACCAATTTGCAGCAACGGTGTGTTGTATTTTCAGGGCACTCGGATAACAGAACTCTGTCTATACATTCCTCCCTCTCAGGAACAAAAGATCCTTTACAATTAGTTGTTTCAGATGAGGATTCATCTACTGATGTGAAAAGTTACAGCCGACAGGCAGACCTTGGCACAGCCTGCACGGACTCTCAGGACCTTAAAAGGCATCTTAACACTACAGAAGAAACAATTAAATTGCATTTGGAAATTACTTGTATGGGTGAGCCATCTGTGGTTTCAGGTTCTTCATCTGCAAATGCAGTGTATGAGGATGAAAAAAGAAACGAGAGAAAACACAACGAGCCTTTAGAACTAAAGGAGACAAATGAAGAACTGTCGGCAGCTAAAAGTGAAGCTGGTACAGATAATCCTTCTCCAACCAGTAGTACTGACATGGTAAAGCAAGGGCTTGTCGAAAACTATTTTGGCTCTCGAAGCAGCACAGATATTTCAGATATTTGGCCTATGGACAACAGCAATCCTGTTAGCCCTCAAAAGGAAACATATGAAAACCAAATAATTTGCTCTTCCCAGCAAGATGAGGAAGAAGAGGAGGATCAGGAAATGATTGAAAACGGGTATTATGAAGAAACAGACTATAGTATATTAGATGGAGCTTCCGGTGCTGACCAGGATCATGGCTCAGGAGAAGAGAGAGCCCTGAGATCTGGAAGGACTGATAGTGGACATCTGCGAGACGGAATAACTGTGCCTCCTGTCTGTACTCCTGGTTGTCTGTCTTTTCCTTCTTCTCTGAGAGACTCTCCTTGCAATGTTATCTGTTCTTCAAGGAATAAATCTGATGCAATTACACAACAGCCAGGCAGTACATCCTACAGCTCAGCTTCATCTGTTTCCTGGTATGAAAGCTCCCCAAAACCTCAAATGTTAGCGTAAGTGATTGTTTTAAAACAAATTTTTTTACTTGTAGAAATGATGTTAATATAGTATAGAAGGGGAAAAGAAGCATGGTTAGGCTCTAGAGTGCCCCTAGAACTGTAGCTTGTGGATTTTGCACACTCAAGTAACATCACGTTTTAGATGTTCGGATAGAAAGTGTGTTAGCACTGAATTCCTTCCATCAGTTACCTTATAATTTCAGCCGGTTTGACAAACTTCAAGCAAAACACAGGTTTTTTTGTTTCTCTAATGTGTTCCTTTTTAAAAAAGTAATCATTCAGCTGCAAAGTGATCTTGTAATGGCTACTGAGCATACAAATGGTGGTTTATGAAATGGAAGGTGTTAAAATAGCAAGCATAGGAAAATATGCTTCGAGTTTAAAAACATAAAACCAAAAACATTCTGTAACTGGCTGTCCATCTAATTAATTAAGTGGAGCAAATGTGCAATGTTAGCCAAGGTGATGGCTTTATTTTTCAATCTTAACTTCAGATATCCAAAATGTAACACCTCAGAGACCATAGTGCTCTACATTACACTGCAATTTGGATACCAGGAAAGCTAAATTTATGGGAACATCAGGGATGGTAGGCTGCACCTTGTCTTGCTGTAAACATAGGAGTTTCCCTGCTCCTAACTGAGCATGGGAAGCAGCAGCTTTGTGCGTTGTGTTGAAAGTAAAATGTTGCTATCAGAAAGAAGAAAGCTTAGAAGACAGGTAGGAACAAGGAGAATGCTAAGTAGACAGAAGAGATAAAAGACCAGAGAGTTTGTAGTAAGCAGCTGAGAGCAGGAGGAAGGATTGAGTAGTGGTGGAGGAAAACAGGTTAGAAGTGGACAGAAAAGTAGCTTCTGAAATACTGGAGAGTGGGTACTGGTGTAGATTGGGAGGGATGAAAAACTGAGACTATTTAGGGTGTTCTGTAACAGTAAAAGAAAGAGGGAACTCGGAGTAAAATCAAGGACTTGGCCTTGGGGAAAGCAGAGTCTCCCGGAGCGTGGGATAACTGGGATTCCAGAGGGCATGATCTGCTCCATAGAGAAAGAACCTTGGTACGTTCAGTTCAGAAAACATGCCTTGAGTACAAACTAAGTAACTTCTGCTGCAGAGTGATAAGACCGACTGCCTGCAGTGTTTTCTGTTTGGGCTGACTTCACTGGGGCTTGCTCTTGCCAGTTAGTGAGAAATCAGCTAAAGATAAAGCTGGGAAAACAGAGAACAAAAAGTAGAATGGGAGGAAAACAGTGAGCGGGCGGAAGAGGATGGGATACAGCATGACGCTGTGAGGGATCATGCAGAACAGACGGATTAAGGAGGGAAAGAAGCATAAGGAAGCATAAAATTGAAGTGCTGCAGGGAAACTGATATGCAGTTAATTAGGTAGGAAGGTCGTACACAAAAAACTAAGGGAAGGGGAAAAAAGGAAGGAACACAAGGAACTCCTAGCATGTGGGGAGCTCAGCTATTAGAAACTATATAGTGTGTGCCTTCATATAATATATAAAAGATCAGAGGTCTGGATCTGATGGCTTCTGAAGCATGTATCGGTTAGTCAGCCTGCCAGAGGAGCTGGCTGGTGGGCAATCACAGCACTGGCTCCAGCTCTCTGCTCCAGCTCTGTGCTGATCTAGGAAATAGGTTCTCAGTTTGGCGAGAACTATCAAAAGTCAGTGGAAATCTTTAGCTTGACTTCTGATTGGTTGTAATTCCTGTAATTTTGTTACTGCATTTAAACAAAGCTGTTGCTTGCTCAAGACCAAAACTGACCCAGAATCTTCATTAGATTCAGAAATACTTCAGAGTTTGCAGAGATGTTCACAGGAGAGAAGACAGTAGAGTTTGGGATATGGATTTTGTTATGGAGGAAAAGGGGCTGTAGGAAGCTGTAATAAACCGACTTATTTTGTGACGATAGTAATTTGATAAATATATTTCCCTTTGTATCAATTACATAAAAGAAAAAGTAGAGTAGAGAAATAGAGTAGAGAACTGTATCCTAGAAGACCCTACTTTTGTCTGATAATAGTAGATGTTGTTTTATCATAAATATGGCTTTGTTTCAGTTTCCTACAGGCTAAAGAAGAATTGAAGCAACTTAAACTTCCTGGATTTATGTATAGCGATGTTTTCAAACTGGCTTCCTCAATACCTTATTTCAGTATGGAAGAGGATGACTGTTCAGAAGAAGGAATACATCTTATAGTCTGCGTCCATGGCCTAGATGGTATGCTGGGAAATGTGATACTGGATGGCAGCAGTTCAGATTACCCGTCAGGATTAGCTTTTGTCATTTGAACTCTGAACTGAATGCTTCTGAAATAGGTTCACTAGAGGGAAATGGGAATCTGACATTGTACTGCTGCATTTGACATTGTGTTCCATAGAATCATTTAAATTAAGAACTTTATGTAAAATTTGTCTTTAGTAAAACTTCCATGACATACACCCATTTTATGCCATAGTTCACATTAGATATATCTTCCAGTTTTTTATGTCATATAGGTGTTTGTCTGTTTTGTCATAATAGAATGGAGTTAGTAACAAACCAGTTTTGCTTAGCATTTGTAATATTACATTGTCAAGGAACATAAAATATGTGTATCTTGTTAGGAAAAAAATAGTATATGTAAAATGCAGTCAAGTGTTCATTAGATTACTGAATCAAAGAATGATTGAGGTTGGAAGGGATCTCTGGAGATTGTCTAGTACAACTCCCTGCTCAAAGCAGGTTGCCCAGGACCAATCCAGCTGGGTTTTTGAATATTTCCAAGGACAGAGACTCTGTTGACCTTGAATATATTCACCTGCTTTTAGTTAAAAGCATATGTGCATTTTAAGAAATAATTTCCCCTCTAGTTAAGATGTTCATAGCTTTCTACCATCAGTGTTCTTGTCTTTTTTTTTTTTGAGAAGCTTCATAAATTAACAATATAAGGAAATACAAAAGGGCGATAGATAGAATATTAGACTTGACTGACACTGCACAGCTTTCTTGTTCATGTTTCAAAGTCCTAAGTTAAAAAATTTTAAATAACAGAATAGTTTCTCTGGGCAGAAAGCATCCTTTTTTAAGCACTTTTAAAACTGAACTCCGAAGTATTCCTTCTTACTAGTGTAAAGTGCTATTCGCACAAAATTGACACAAAAGTTAACTCGGCCAACAAAACTGCTGTTAAAAAACCCCATGTCTTTGAAGCCTTACAAAAACCCGTATAGTTAGAATTTTCGTATGAAATGGTGAGTTCATACAAGTTCGTTCCTGTTAATAACAGATTTAAATAAAAAACTTGTTCTCTAATTAAGGAAAAAAGGGTATCTTTCTTCAAAAGGATACATGATCATTGATGTAGAGAATTCTTCAGCATGCTAGTTAAACTAACATTTGTTGTCTTGGGTACCAGTCTAAATATATCTTTATCGGCTGACAGTCCACTCTGCCGCCTTATTCTATGAAAATGTTTACGACTTGCCCTTATTCCTTGCTCCTTCACTGAATTCTGTAAGCTAGCTCTGAGTTCTTTAATTGACTTTTATCAAAGTTAATTAGGTTTTTAAGACGGTAATGTTCACAGTGCTGTGCAACTGTTGGATGCTAAGACAAAATCAAACATGACTTCCTAAATCCTTGCTTTTTTAAAACAGCGTCTGCATTGAATGTCATTTTTATAAACCGTTTTGTCACTGCATTTGGCATTGCAGTTTATCTTCCTGAGTCTTACTGAATTTTAATTAGGGCTGAGAATATCATTAGCGGTGTTTAAATATAAAGTTGTGCCGTAAGTTCATTTCGGTATTCTAAGTGCTTTTATTGCAGGTTAACTTTGCAGTGTCTTAACTATTGATTCTTTTTCCTTTTAAGGTAACAGCGCAGATCTAAGATTAGTGAAGACATACATTGAGCTAGGGCTGCCTGGAGGGAGAATAGATTTTCTTATGTCCGAAAGGAATCAGGTATTTACCAACAAAAAAAGAATTTTTGTAAAGCAGTAAACTGTACATCTTCAGACATTTATTTCATGGCACTGTCGTGTTGCGTTTTGCCAATTTCTGTATATTTTTATACATGGAATCCATTATTTGATCTGTGGCTTGCCTTAAAGTAGTTACAAAACCCCAGTGATGTTGAAGGTAAATATATAAGGAGTAACATTTGTTGCTGCCATTTTGTTGTGTGTACTGGTATCTCCTAAGTTCTCACCATAATCAGTTAGGATTGCAGATAAAATACCCTTGATATTAATGGTTAAAATGATGATAATAAAAACTGGTGTGGTGAGAAGGGAGATGAGTTATTTCACAGGATCTGAGAAATACAAAATACCTGTCTCTTGTTCTTTTGTCAGTGTATTGTAAGATCCACATCGTGACACTGAGCCAATATCAAATTACCTCCTGTGTTAAACTTTTGTGAATTATATTACTTTCAGATGAAGTAAACTTGACAAAGCACAGAAGACCAATTTTCACATTTTTTATGTGTGTTACATATTGTATTAGACATACTTCAGGGATGAATTAGACCAAAGAGTCTATTTAGTGGCTCAAACAAAAGGTTCATTTAGTGCAGTAGCGTTTTTCTGGCGATAGCTGCTGGGATGCTTTGTGAAAGAGGCTGGACAGGCACCAAGCCATGCTTTCTCTTCTCTAGCCCTGTAGTTTTGGCAGTCAGCAGTTCTGAAACTTTCTGATTTGGGAATTCCACTGAGGCGACCGAGCCTAACAGCTACTGACGGACTTTTCTCCTTAATGTTGGCTGATTGTTTTTGAGCGTTTTTACTTCCAATTGCCACAGCATACAGTTGAGATTAATTCTATGGTTCATATACATTACTGATTCAGTTGCAAACAAAGAAATTTAAACAAATCTGCCTACAGCTTGTTTTGGGAAAAAAAATAGTCAATAATCATTCCTTATTTTCCGCTTCAGTTAATTAAGTATTTTATAAACAAGTATAATTTCTCCCTGGGGAGGCAACTGAAGAGACGTAGTCCATTCAGTATTTCTCAGGATCACATGTGAAACAGTTTCTGGTCATCCATGATACCCTTCGCTGCCCACTTCCAAGCTTCTTGTCATTTAAAATAGGATGATCAGAACTAGACTGAGCATTTAAGATGCTTGTGCACTACAGACTCAGAAAATGCCATGTTGAAATTTTCTATTCTTTCCTTGCTGTTCTAAGATAGTTGATGATACAGAACGCAGGGGTATAGATTATTGTTTGCATATAAGTTTAGGGCTGTTTTTTCTTATGTAACATTGTTTTGCATTTCTTGCCATTTTATCACCCAGGTGTGCAATACTATAAGATTCTTCTGAAATTCTGGTCGGTTCTAGATTTGACTATCCTGGATATTTGGTTTTGTCTCCAAACTCTGATCTCTCATCTCCTTCCCTTTCCCAGATCATTTATCAATGTGTTGAACACTAGAGATTTTAGCAGAGATCCTTTCGAATTTGTGTTGAAAAGTTTTAGGCAGCCTTTGCCTACCTCTTTTAATTTCTTACTGCTAATCATTGTAGAGAGTCAGCTGCGAACTGGGAATAAGCTTTAAGGATTTGTTTTGTTTTGAATAAGCAGTACTAACCTAGACTCTTTCTGCTGTTGCAGTAATTGTCTCATTTCTGTTTCATGGGTGGTGTGATTTAGTTCTGAATACGCAGTTTGGTCTTCTGTTTCACTACAGATAAGATTATGCGTAGGGGAAGGCTTAGAAGTAAGGCTGGCTGTGTAATGTTAAGATTTGTTTTGGTGTATTAGAAGAAAGTAGTCTTACAGTTAAATGTGTATCACTTTATTCCATGTTACAAGAAAAAAACCACTTGAAAAAACAATAACCAGCTGTAGTGCTTGTATTCAAAGTTAATATGGATGCTTTTATTTGTGTGTTGTTGATCAAAACACTGGAGAATAAGAATTCAGTCTGAATGCAGAATGTATATTGCTGCATTAGAAAATACAGTTATTATTTTTTATTTCTTTTATTTTACAGAATGATACCTTTGCTGATTTTGATTCCATGACAGATCGCCTTTTAGATGAAATTATACAGTATATACAAATTTATAATCTAACCCTTTCAAAAATCAGGTAATATCTGTTCTATACTATTTATAGAAATAAACTTAAAACGAGAGCCCTGTGTTGTTCTGAACTGTGATGCTCAGGAGCAGGTCAAAAGAGAGATGGGAAAGAGAAATTCAGGGAGGGGGAGGAATAAGGGAAAGGAAGACAAATGAGAGAGAGGGAATTCCCAGCTGAAAGAAGACTGAACAGTGTTGTAAGCTCACCTAGTCCTGTTGGTGGTTTTAGGGCAGGGTTAAGCGTTACATTTAAGGAACTGCTGTCCTGTGCTTCCTCAGATTCTGCGTGGTCGGGTTCTGCAGAAAACCAGATAATATTTTAAGAAAGTCAAAGGAAACTGTAGTAGCGCTACGTCATGATAAAGTTAGCTTTCTTCTGATTTTATAGTCTCTTCACCAAGTATGATGTAGTAGGCTGTCTCTATTGTTATTCCAATAGGGAAATTCCATCTTACCTGTGACGTTGAAGGGCAGCTGCATGAAAACAATACTTCATCATTTTGACATTTTCTGATTGTTTCGTCTGCTAAAAAGCATGTTTTACATCTCAATAGGAGGCTCATCCCAGTCTATACATTCCTGTTATTTCCTTTTTCAGTTGCTTCCACGGAATACCTGTTCCATTTATTTTCTCAAAGTAGGCTACACCATTTGGGCACTTTACACCTTACTAACTCAGCTGTGTTGCTGGAGTTAGCTCATCAATAGATGAGAGGAGCAAAGTCAAGCCTGACTTCATCCATTTGTTTAGGCATCCTCAAATTATACATCTGGAAGGTTTTTTGACTGACTAGTTACACGCATTTCTTACAAATCTCTGCATACTCATGTGTTCTGTAGGCCTTATTCAGCTAGAGAAAGCATCTAACAAGTTTAAACATAATCTCACTTTTTAAACAAATGTTTCTATTTTGAGATAGTCAAGATTTGACATGGTTAATTTTGTCTAAATTGAGATTTAAAAAGAAAAAAAAAAAAAGAGCCCTGTGTGGTTGTATTTGTGTTACGCAGACTGCGTTTTAGCACCCTCAGTACAGGAGAGGAGAGTTCTGCAACCCACCAGCACACGCTGATTATCTTCTCTCTCACTCTGGGGTCTGAAGGCTGTAAAGAGCAAACCCACCCAATTACCTTCTCGTTGTTCATACCTGAGAATTGAATTCTCATTTGCTTTTGGTTTGCTTCTCTCATAAGACTTACAATTTGTAAATATTTTTTCAGTTTTATTTATTACTTGTCACTTGAAAGAAAAAAGAAATTATCAATTTTTATTATAGTTTGCTTTTCAAAGTGTATACTTGTGTTTGGCCCTGCTGAAGCAGAAATCTCCATCTCTCAACTTTAGCTTTTCTTATGAGAAAGTTAAACCTATCAGCAAATCCTGCAGCTGTTTCCTGATAGCTACATGTGAGAGCTTTCAGAAGAAGACGTGCTTATATGCAATTCCTTGGGATGACCCAGAAAACCCAGCAAAGCACTATTGAGAAATCCTCTGTTCAAGTAGTCAGTGCATTCCTACCTCATTTTGGCCGTCCCGCTGTAAAGGAAACAGACTTTGTGCTAGTTAGCCATGCTTTCTTGAATGATGCTAGTTTATCCTCATAAAATTTCCCTGTCTGCTAAAAGAAGTGTTCTCTGTATAAGCGCTGCTCAATAGCTGAGTCAAATTCAATCTCTGTACCTATAACGATTTTGTATGGCAAAAATGCCAACAGCATTGTGTGTCAGAAATACCTGTTCGGTCCCTCTTTTACATTTGTCTTGTTACGGGCAAAAGGGAACACAGTTCATACACAGAGCTAAGAATTTATTGTTAGTCCAATTAGTGTTTTAATAATCTCATAAAAATGCAGAAAAAAATTACTATTAGTCTGGTTACAGAACTACTAAAATTCATACTCCAAATTAATCCAGAAAAGTCCCATTATTAATATGGCTAAAGTTGTTATACAGAAACTTTCTAGAATCTTTTCTCAGGTGATAGGCTCCCCTTCCAGCAGGTGTCTGGGTCCTAAGATTGGTGGTTTCTGTCTTCCTTAAGCAGTGGGACATCAGCATCCTGGGGCTTCAGTGTAAGGAGAATGATGTTCACGGTGGGGGTTTCTGCATCTTTGGCCTTGGGTCTGCCTGGATTTAGTTTCATACTTTCATATTTTCAGTCTGCCCACATGCTCTTTCTTTTCCATTTACTCATTTTTTTTTTTCCATTCTGTTACCCCTAACACTGCCTTTCTTTCCTGGGTTGTAAGATTGTGCTTCTGCTGTGACCGTTAATAGACCGTTGGGGACCTCTGGCATATGATACCCGTGTCTACTCTTCTACACCACACTTTATTCTAGTGATACACGTTTCAGCCTCACACAGAATAACTACTTGTTATTAATAGAAACTATAGTGAAACTAAATCAACTTTAGGCCTGACTTGTTATTTCGTGGCCAGACAGTTGTTGTCGTAGCTAAAACAAACTAAAATCAGGTCAGGGCAAGACAAGAGAAATTCTGAGATTCTGTGCTGTCAGGTCAATGCAAAGCCTCGTGCCTTCAGGTAGTGGCAAAATGCTATTTATTGTGCTACATTCTTATATTGAGGTAAGAAAAGGCACTCCCTGTACCATCAGAACCCAGAGCCATACCATACAGTCAACTTCAGTGAACCAACATTTTTGGTTCTGCCAAAGCTAATACCAGTTGTTGCACCAGTATGCTACCCAGCATGTGCATTGATCTCCTCGGAACAAAATCTTTGTGCTAATTAGGAATGTGTAGCAAGCATGAACTTCAAGCTTGATTCAAACCAACAGCAATTTGTCTTATAAAACAACTGTTTGGTAAAGAATCACAGAATACTTTAGGTTGAAGGGGCCTCTGGAGGTGCTCTGGGCCAGTTACCCACTCATACCAGTGCCACCTTCAGAGTTAATGAAACTTTGAAGCAAGTCAGATTGCTCAGTCATATCCGTTCAAGTTTTGAGTACGTGTGAGGATGGAAGCCTTTCCAGGACATCCCATAGCTAGGAAATAAACCACATGCTCTTACAGTGCAGTTTCAGAAACTGATTTCCTCACGTCGGGTCTTACATAAATTTCTGATGGCCTATATTGGATTATTCGGCTTGTCAATCTCTTCCCTAAGTAACATTGGCTCACAAAAAAAAAGAAAGCAATTTTTAATGCTATGCATATATTAAAACATCTGTTCATTGTTTCAGCACCTTTTTGATTATGGCTTTTGATGGATTTTTTTTTTTTTTTCTGTGACTTTTCATAGTTGGACATATCTTGTATTCAGAAGATGGTAATATTGCCACCTACTGTTCATAAATGCATTGGTGTTGCAGAGCATTCCACAGTTGCAGGTATCTGAAACAATGAGTAGGGTGGGTTACATTTTGCCTTACATTTTCAAAACCCTTTTTGAAGGGTTTTGCTTTTCCTCCCTTTTGCTTTTTGATTTGAGCAAGTCCTTAAACTTTTCTCTGCTAGAAAATAATATTAAAGGCTTATTCCATCTTGACCTAAACATCTGAATTTGAAAGCAATATATTACTGTAATCTTTGTTATTTTTCCAAGTCTTTACAAATTAAGGACAAGTGTTTAATCTTTGAGGTACATTCACATAGCTAATTCTGAGCACCTTTTTTTCTTCAGATGGACCTTTCATATTTCTGAAGTTTTGGGTCGGGTGTGCTCATATTCTTGAGAATGATAGGACTGATTGATTGATGGATCAATCTTTTTTTTCTCAGTGTCGAAATTGTCCTTTGTTATGGTACAATATAAGAGTTTCTCATCCCTTTATGATGTTTAGTAAATAGAGGATGAACTTTCAGAGAACTGCCAAGAGAACAGCTCTGCTAGTGTTCAGATCTTCTTTAGAAAATTTACGCAAGAGCAATTACATGATGCAGATCATCTTCAGGATAAACTCAGTTTCTGTGGACATTTTCATGTTCCTAAAGAAATTTCTGGTTCTGTTTTTCTTTTATGGACTTTATGATGTACTCTGAGAGAATGATTTTAAATTTTCATTTTCAAGAAAGTCAGCAGCTCAGTATTTTGATATGTAATTGCACTGCTGTTGTGCTGACAGCACAGAGGAGACATACCTTTCACTTCTAAATTAGCCAGGCAAGCATAGCAAGCTGTGGGAAAGAATTTCTGATACTGCAGTAGTTCTGAAAAAATAGTAGTAAAAGCAGACAGGAAGAATATACATATGTGCTTGAACTGTGTATTGGTAAGGAACAAATAGCCTATTCTGTCATAGAAATGTATAATTATGTCAAGAGTTTTGGAGCTCAGGGGTGGCCATGATATTCTATAACCTAATGTTTGGATTTCTTCATTTAGCTTTAAATTGGAGTTTTCAGAGTCAATAATTCTTTCTTGGGAAGCAATTAAACAGTCGAGTATAGCACTGTATTTTACACAGATACTACTGGTAGCTTTGTTTTAGCTATATCTGTCGACAAATGTAGTGATACAGAGTAAACGGGGAGGATGATCTTATGGGTGTAATGTTGTGGCACATATATGATCCAGCCACAGTAGTTCTCCTATATATTTTTGGATGGTTGTCTGTCCTCTCCATGTTCTGAGATTACATCTGTAAAACAGGAAGGCACTTTTTCATTCTAGTCTTGTGAGTCTTGTCTCTACCATATCCCCTTTAAGTCAGTGTCTAGGATGGTGTGGTCCTTACCTCAGCAGGGATCTGTAAGCATAACTCTGTAATAACTAAAATTGATTTATTTTGTAGTGTCCCTTCTAAAGAAATGCTTTATTACAGACTTGTGGGTATGAGAGTAGCCACCTCAGATTAAGCTACTGTTAGATGCATGAAGCTAAAGAGTCCCATCCATCTTTCCCCTAACTCGCTTAACCAGGGAAACGACTACATGTAATATTCTGCCGGTAGACATATTCTTCAATTGCCTCCCTCAAGCTGATAATTACTTCTTTTGGCCCAACTGCTAAGCAGATTTGAGGTTTTGCTTGTACTTTAAAATAATCAGATTCAGTTAAGTAATGGTTTTCCCCCTTATAGGAATACTTTTTGGAATCCCTCTCCACTAGGTTGTTTCAGTAACTCACGCATTTATCATATTGAATGCCCATCACATGCCACAGTAGTGATTTATTCAGTCGTGCATAGCTCATAAAATATTTTCTGAATACTTGGTGCTAAGGGAAATACACCCAGAAATAATTTTGGGTTTGGTTGGGAGATGCTGGTGGAAGGATAGTTTGTTTGCACTAGCTTTAAAAAAACCCCACAACAGTATAAAATAATTCTAGAGGAGTTCGGACCATGTTTGTAACAAGTTTGTGCAGCTTGGGAGATGTGGACAAGCTATGTTTTCTGTGTGACCTAAAATACAGGCTTCTGAATGAAAACTTTTCATTAATTTTTTTTCCTGTGCTCTTTCAGCATTTTATGATATCAGTTTTATTTTTCTCTGTTTAAAAGAAAAAAAAAAGTTTGTCATCAAATTCTGTTTCATACTGTTTCTTCTTTTTAAACAGCTTTATTGGACACTCACTGGGTAATTTAATAATCCGTTCAGTGCTCACAAGGCCTCGATTTAAATATTACCTCAACAAACTGCATACCTTCCTGTCTCTTTCTGGACCACATCTTGGTACCCTCTACAACAGCAGTGCTCTTGTTAATACGGGTAAAGTATTAATTTCAGTAGTATGACTTCAGGGGAGGTTTTGTCTTTGAAATGCACTTAGCAGTTTCACGTGGGGTGCACATTTCTGCATTACTTTGATTATGAGAAAGTGCATGTTTCAGGGTCATAAGAAGAGAAAAGGGTTATAAAAATAAAGTATCAATAGAAGGATGTGCAAGAGATGGTTGACATAAGCATTTTCCTGTATGTTAGATTCAGGTTTTCTATTACACCATAAAGAAACTCCAGTTTTAATGTGTTGAGCTCTATTTATTATAAACTGAATTTTAATATACTTAATCTGCAAAACAAGTAGGTAAGATGCATTAAGATAATTCTGAACTACTAATAGCGTCTCTTCTCTCTCAAAAATGTCTTACAGTAAACCTTACAACCTGCAGTGTGTTTCTGCAGATGTGTTTGTACCTTATGAATGTATGTTTCTCTAAAGATTAAACGTAGCTCTAGGAGAACTTGTAGAAACTGACTTTTGAAATAAATGTTAGAAAATATTTTCAGGTAGCATCAAATTTTTAAATGAAAACTTGTTTCTGAGATTACCACCTACCTTGGAGAGCCCAAACCCAAAATGACACTTATTTTCAATAAATATGAACGTGCTCATTAAAATCCTTTAAAAGACTGTAAAAAAACATTAATTATTTTGTTTAGTGCTGGTTTATTTTTTGATTGTTTTATTATTTATTTCATGCAAAAATGAGGAGGGAAAACTTTTAACTCGCCTGTGATGATCTTAAGAGAAGTGGCCAGGAATTGCTGGCTCGCTGGAGTTACTGTGGGAGTTTGTGGAAGAAGAGGAAACATGACACCTCTTTGAATTTGGTTGAAATTGTACCATTTATAGCCCTCAATACACTACCAGTGAGGTTCACTTCAGGATTAAGGCGTCTACAATATAATTCACTGTGGGCATTCACCTGTTGGGCATTTAACCTAGTATAGCTGGGGACCGTTTCTTTCAAGTTTTTAATCTCTAACTGAATCTCGCCCAAATAACCCAAAATTGTTAGCTTTTAGAAACTGCATTTTTCCAAGACGCAAAGAGGCAGGGCTGTTTGCTTGTTTATATAATCACCAGCAAATGGCTTCAGTTAACTAAGATTAAAGATATCAAAGTATAATCCAGAATATATTCACTGAAGAAATAAGGGTTTCTGGAGTATCTAATCTTTTTTTCAGTTGAAGACTGTACAAAATGTCCTTTTCATATAATAATCTTCCTCTACATTTCAAATTCCTTAAGATTTTGGAAAATACCAAGGTAATAATAAGTAATGGGTATTGAAGTCTAAATTGCTATATTGTATGTATACATTAATAACCTTCAATAAATTCCTTCAGTAGAAGATAACTATTTCCTTGAGGGTTGAATCAACACCTTCTTGAGGCTGTAGGGGCTTGGTTACTTGGTCTTCTTTTGCTTGGCAAGGGAGAGATTTTCTGAAAGGCCAGTTAGCCAGCTGGCTTTGCTTATTGACTAATAAAGAGGGTACAGCATCACAGAAAATATAGTACTATGATTTTCCTCCCAGAAAATCCTGCTTCCTTTGTTCAAGTTCTGGTTAACGAATTCAGTGGTTCTGTGAAGTTATTTTAGAAATCTGAGAAGTAATGCTTGTTGTTTATGTTACATATTTCAACGTTGAAATGTTCTAATATTCTGTAAATTATTGAAATAGAGTTTGCATATTGCCTTATGGCTACCTTATTAATGTATTTTAACATTTTGTTAGTTATTTTTTTCTGGAAAGGCATATACATGGTCTTCATGCTTTATTATATGTAGACAGGAAAGAATAATGAACAAAAATTTTAAGTGTTTCGGGGCTTGATAATGCTGATGTGAAAAGTAAAACTAACATCTGAGGAGCTAAATATATGGACTTTATGCACTTTTACTTATGTTTAATTAGTTTTCATATTTATTGTGGCTCTATACTCATGTTGTACCTAACAATGCAGGACTGTGGTTTATGCAGAAGTGGAAGAAGTCTGGTTCTTTATTGCAATTGACGTGTCGAGACCATTCAGATCCACGACAAACATTCTTATACAAACTCAGTAAAAAAGCAGGTAAGCTTTGTTAATACTTACTACCTTTTAAAAGGCACTGTACAGAAATGTGAATAGGAAACCTAGAAAAAAGATTTCAAACAAGCTTCTGTTTCATTTTATATAAGAGTTAGTTTGGCTTTAGTCCCATATTCATAAAGTAAAAGAAACGATAAACCATTTCTGTTGCAGCAGTAGACCATTGGTTTGATACTTTCCTTTCTAACTGATAAGCAGAAGTTGTGAGTGCAGCCACTATGGTAGCATGTGTGCATACATCTCTATATGTGTATATAGATAGATAGATAGATATCTATCAGCTTCCTGTTGAGCCACTGAAGCTGGTGATTTCAGTGTGATAAGTCAAGTACATATATGGTGATTTGGAATTACCTGTTTCTATATCTATTTTTCTTAGCTATTCGATAAACATAAAATTCTGCTTTAAAGTTTTTGCTAACCTTTATTTCCTCACAAAAATGGTCAGGGAAAACAAAAACTCATTTTGATAAAGAAAGGAAAAGTTGTACTTAGCATAATAGCTAAAAAACAAATTAAATTATTCATACTATATCATTCATACAATTTTCTCTGGTTTGAATATTCTTATTTCAGCTGTTGGCTGAGAACCAGTTTTGGCAGTGAAGAATGTGCTACTTGGGGGGTAATTTCTATTAAGTGTTATAAAGTTATTGAGGATTCATCTGACAGGTATCTCTGAATGTGTGTCAAGCAAGCAGTTTGGAGCCAGGGATGCTCGTAGTGTTTTGTGAAAAATCTGGGCATGTTTCTTCATCAAAACATTTGTAGAGTGTCAGAGATGAAATTTTGTTGAGAGCAAAGCAGTACAGAGATACGGGCAGGAAAAGACTGACATCTAGCTCTTGAGATGTTCGAATATAAAACTTACAGGACTTGGAAGAAGCAGAAAAGGATGTGGAGTAAGAAGAAGGATCATGGCTAAGATAGAATGTTGATCAAAAACTGATTCTAGAAAAATTTGGAATTTTTTTTCTCCCTTTTGTTCAAAATCCACTATCACAAAGTGATTGTGTTGCTGATAAGGTGATATCAAGGTTGAACTGGTATTTAAAGGGGAACCGCGAAGTTAAAAATTATTGGTACAACCGAACCACTGTCAACTGAAGTGGTCTCAATGTAGCTTTGCAGTCTTTTGAAAATAAATGTTTGATCCTAAACAGAAGTTACGAGCTTCTGAGAAGTTACAGAGTGGATGCTGGGTATGACTGTGGGACCTGTGTTATAATCAGATTAATTAATGAGTTTGCTTTAAAGAATTTGGTATTCCTTGGTTTTATGTGTATATCTCTCAATGTGACTAGAGACACTGTTATTTGAGCATTGTTGTCAATTCTAGAAATCATAGAATGGTTTAGGTTGGAAGCGACCTTGAAGATCAT